GAAGCTTGCTGAGAAGGAGAGAACTGTTGATGCGATCATTTGGAAATGGAAGAAATATAAAATGACCATCAATCACTCTCGGTCTGGAGCTCCACACAAGATCTTCATTCATGGGGTGAGGATGATCATGAGAAAAATGGCTGATTGGCCAAAACAACTTGGGAGGAGCTGGTTAATGATCTGAAGGCAGTTGGGATCACAGTCATCCAGAACACCATTGGTAACACACTACATGTAGTGAACTAAAATCCCCCTGCTGAAGAAAGCACATGTACAGACCTATCCTAAGTTTGGAAGTGAACATTAAAGGGAGTTTTTCCTTCCCACTGTCGCCAAAGTGCTTGCTCATAGGGGGTCATACGATTGTTGGGTTGTTTTCACTGTATATATTATTGTACGATCTACTGTACAATTTAAAGCGACGAGGCAACTGTTGTTGAGATTAGGCGCTATATAAATAAAATTGAATTGAATTGAAAATTTAAATGAATCAAAGAAGGCTTGGAAGAAAGTGTGGCAGTCAGATGAAACCAAAATTGAACTCGTCTACCATCAATTTGACCTGATGTGTTTGGAGGAAGAAAAATGTTGAGTATGATCCAAAGAACACCACCCCAACAATCAAGCACAGAGGTAGAAGCATTATGCTTTGGGACTGGTTTTCCAGCAAAAGAATTACCCAAAATATACCAAGGCAATTAATACTAATGGCTACCGAAGATGCACATTAAGCTCATGGAGCGATCTCGCCAGTCCCCAGAAAGCCTGTGGAGGAACCTGACACTTCAAGAAAACAGAGCCCTGATAATCTTACTTTCTGAGTCTGATGGACATTATTAAAACCATAGACGTCATGTTCTATTCGGACCAGTGGAACCAAGGGTCACATTTTCATAGATTTCTGTACAACTGGAAAACCAGAAGAGTCGCCCCCTGCTGGCATTTGAAAAAGAATGCATGTCTGCCAATTAGCTGCAGAGCCACTTTACTCCAAACTATACCAATGCTCTGGAAAAGCCTCACACTTAACCACAAAAAACAAAATCCTATGCTAATGCATCCATTAGTTATTAAAGCTTTAAAGGGGTGGGGCCAACACTGCTTAAATACTGCCGCGGTTAAAAATAATCACAAGAAAGTCATTCTGGTTTTCTCAAAAACATCTTTTTTTTTATTTTCACATGAAAAGTTTTCACATTTATCATATTTATCAAACAGGCTTTTTATAGAATCTATAATATATTTATATGTACACATATTATACATTTCTCTTACTTACACATGTACAAAATTAGGTAACAAGAATTCAGATAAAAAAAGACTGACTTCAATGGTAGTCATACACTGTTGTGCTTTGTTGAATCAAGCCAGCCTGTCAGGTGAAGATGTGCTTGGCAACTGGGTTTGATGCTGTGTCTCGTCTGTTGTGAACTGGTGACTATAACTTTTTTTTTTAAAAATTGCTCTAAACTAAAACTAAATAGCTGATTGCCCCACTTTGTGTTTGCTTGTTTTCCAGTCGGGGTGGAAAGCACCATGACACACAGGGGTGAGTCCTGCGCTAAAAAAGAAAGATTTAATACCAGCTCCTTGTGTCAGACAGTTTTAACCATTGCGAGGCGAGATCCAACAAACAGAGAAGTCCAGCCTCTCTGCGGTTCACACAACATCTCAGTGTTTCTTTTGGCAGAAAAAAACCAACAACATTTGTCTCAACACGCTTTCAATCAAACGCTGCACAGCTTACACACATTCTCCTGTTCTCAATTAAACGCGCACATATTGCCTTTCACACAAATACTACCTCCACCGGGGGCCCTCCCCATCGGCAACAGTAAACATTTCATTTTGTGAGCACATGGTATATACAGTAAAACGTCTCAGCTGCAAATGTTATAAATTATCTTCACAGAATGTACATGTAACATGATTCAACGTAGTGTTTCCATGTGTTACAGAGCGTCTGATGATTGTGTGTGTGTGTGTGTTTGGATTAAGCACTGTTTTAAATGGAGTGTATGTTGATGTGCAGTATTAGTGCTACAGTATATAAGCACATGGTCTGCGAAGGAATGGTGGTCATGAGAACAACTTTTGTGTCTGTTAATGCTACATTAAGAGAACGTAATCACCTGGGACAGCAAGGTCACGCAATACCGTTACAATAACAATACAACAAATAGTACACAGTACTCAGGGTGGAATAGTGTACAAGTTGGAGAGATGACTGATCTTTGGCTCAAAAGGCTTGAGATTACTTTTTTTTCTTCCTTTCTTTTTTTCTTTAAATGCTGACTCCCTGTCCCCCATGTCAGTATAAAATTCAAAGTTGGTTAACTTGGTGTCGTAGCTCCTGATTGTCCTTCAGCCACTTCAGGTTCCTCTTCAACTTCTTTCTTCTCTCTTGCAGGGAAGTCCTCCAGAGTGGTTGATTTGATGGGGGAGCCCCAAATAGCACAAATCAAGGAGAGCTTTGTCTTTCCAGAAAAATACTGTCATCTTTTGGACAAAAAAATAATAAGACAAAGCACAAGTACTTGTCTCAAACGCTCAAAGTTGCTCAGCACATGTTGTGCAAGCGAGTCCATCTGTACTCTGCAAGCTTCAAAAGTCTCTCCCTGCGGCCAGCACTGGGCATGTTTTTTTTTTTAAGTCAGTGGTTTTCAACCCCACGGACTATCTTCATTGTAGTGTCTGAAAAAAAACAAAAAAACCCCCCCCCCCCCCAAAAAAACCCCAAAAAAGTCTGCCAACAGAAATCCTTTTTATGTATTCTCAGTGCAACAAAAACAGTAACGAAAATGGGACTAGCACTGAGAGGATTGAGAGGGATGTAGCTGCCGCTGCAGAGTTTGTCCGTACACTCTTCTGAACATCTGGCAGGATAACCACCGGGTCATCTGCTTGAGGACAGGAGACAAAGAAAACACATTAGTACCATAAATTTACATAAACCCCAAATGTACCTCGATTGTTTTAGGGTCAGGGATAATTAGATAGGACACGGGGTTGGGCTACATACCTGCAGGCAGCCTGTTGGATGGGTTGTGAACCCCGCCACCGGCTCCAACTGCAGTCCCACCTGTACCCCCTTTAGCCACTCTGGCCTCTTGAGAGCCTGGAAAAAAAAGGCCATCAATCATTCTGTCTTGCAATAGCCTAAAACACGACTGTTAGAGGTGACTGTACTGCTTTCCTTTCATCCAAGAGGGTGGTCAAAAACTTACCATCTGCAGCTATGACGTCCACCCTCAGCCTCAGGCACTCTTGGCCATGGTGGTGCAAAGGTTTGGCTGCAGGGAAGAAGAAACAAAACAGGCGTTAACATCCTTACTAATACACTTATCCTCTCTTGGCCCCTTAATCCACCTTAATGCACGCGCGCATACAAACACTGACACACAAACCCTTGGCAACAGAAAAACAATGGTACAAAGCCCTGGGAAGCCATCTGTGATCAGGCAGACTGTGTCTTGTCCTGCCGTTTATCTAATTACAACCATGGCCAGGGTGACAACATTGCCTGTGCTTTGTGGTCAGTTTACAGCAAGGCTAGTATTGCATAAAACTTGGCAAAGTGAGCCAGCGCCCCAGTTTTCAAAGAGCTGGCCACTGAGCTGCAGCTTATCACACCTGGTACACAAACATGCAAACGCCACCCAGGTCACACTTTGTTGCAAAAGCAAGATTTCTGTGAATCAGGGATAATTAGATGGATTGACATGAAGTTTTTTTTTTATCATTTCCAGGCAACGAGCTGCAATGACCTTAAGATTAAAAGATTTTTTTCCAAGTGAAATGTCTCAAAAAGATGTCCATGTTTATTTTAGCATGAATTAGGATAACTTTAAGGATCGCTTAGCATTAGTGTCTAGCATCTAGTCATCATTACATAAGTACCACATTTCTATGACTGACTTTGTGTCATGCAAAACATCCAAAAGCTAATATGTTGAACAGGAAAACGCTGTCAATTTGGCATGTAGTTCCAAGCACATTTATCTTGGTTGCATGCTCCCTGTGTTATTAGAAAATAAGTTTAACTAGGAACTAGGACAGGATCCGTGACACTTACAGATATAGTAGTAGCTCTCTCCTTGGCGAAACTCCTTTCCCAGGGTGAAAGGAGTAAAACGCTGGAATTTTTCAGAGAACTTCTCAGGTGCGTGAGGGGCAAATGGATGACTGCACTCCCAGCGCATCTGGTCATACGACTGCGGCTTGCAGTTGTCGTAGTCCTCCCGCTCCACCATGTAGAGCACGTATCGCTCAGCATCCATCGATGGCACCTCACCCTGCGGGTAATGGGGGCAGACGATGTCCAGGTAGTCATTAAGCTTCACCTCCACAGCATAGTCGACCCGCTGAAACCTGTCGGGATGAGGTAGAGGAGGCAGGTTACGCAAGTGGCAGGAGACTGATAACCGTGCTTATAGCATCGGAGCAGTAATAAATATAAGCCTCAAAACCTCTGATTATATATTGATCGGCTACACGCCGGTATTCAACAGGGAAATCAGAGGAAAGACTGTGGGGTCTAGGAATGGGAGATAGAGAGCAAAAGAAAGAAAGAATGTTTGTATGAGAGGATGTATATGCGTGTTCGGGTGGAATGAAGAAGGGAAACGCGATAAGGGGAAAAAGTGATCTGCAGAGGACACGCCCATAAATATGGATGAACGGGAGGCCAGTGTAGCTGATGCTGCTGTGCTGAGAGTTAGCACCGAGTGCACATTGATCCCGTGTCTCCCTGGAGTTGAATGATGTTTACCGAGAAACATTAGTAGTCAGTTAGCCCGTCAACACAGGAGATGAGTATTGACATCTGCAGGCTACATGCACACACAAACAAACACACAGGTAGAGCAGCAGAATGCATAATGACAGAAAAAGTGGAAACACACCTGAGTTTGCGAGCTATAGAGACAAGAATATAAATAAAGGTCACATACAACTCAATCTAAAAAAAAAAAAGCTTAAGGATAGACAAACTATAACTGGGGTAACAAAAGGAAATGGCATCTGCCACAGGATAAGGCGGACTAAGGCAAAGTGGAATTTCTGAACCAATCTTAATGATTTAAGAAATTATGGCTGGTGCATCTCCTCACTTGTTTCAGTACACACTTCAAAAGTCAGCATCTGTGATGGTCTGATGGTGTCTTAGTGCACACAGCAGGGGTAACCTAAACATCTAGCAAAGCGCCATCATGGCTGAACAATAAACAGAGCTTTTACAGAAACATGTGCTCCCATGTTCCTTTTCATGAAAGCTCTAGCTGATTTCAGCAAGAAAAACCACATTGTGTACATATTCCAGCAACATAGCTCAGTAGTAAAAAAAATTAGGGGGCTGAGGAGGGGTAAACTGGCTAGATTGCAGTTTGGCCTGGTCACCGCATTTGGAAAATAAATAAATTAATTAAAATGGCAAAGGAGGCCCCAAATTGTTGAGCAGCTGAATTTGAGAACAGTACAAAAACACAGATATCCCTCAGCTCTAAAACTCTTACAACACCTCATAGATGATATGTGACAGCGGTAGCAGTAAAGACCCACCTGCCACAATTTGTTTGAGGCGAGTTGTTGGCATCAAATTCAAAAAAACAAAACAATAAATGCTCCAAGTTTCAACATCCGATATGTTGTCTTGATTCATTTTCTAAATAAATGCAGGTGATTTACAAATCGTTGTCGTCTCTTCTTGCTTACATTTTACACCACGTCCCAGCTTTTTTTGAGAACAGGGTTGTATGTCTTAACCCACTCATTAGGGTCAGATAGATAGGCACAGATACAACATGAGTCTGGTGACAGTCTGTAACTGTCTTCCACCACACTCCCTCTCATTACAAATACAGATAGAGACAGTCAGACTGTCTGCCTCCCCCTTCAACCCTCCCTTCACTCTTCCACCCTCTCCACCCTTTTTACCATGGTCCTTAAGTAAACTAAACTTCCCATCTCCTCTTAGAGCCGGCTCAAAAAAGCACTTACACAAAAAGCATCATTTTAGTCTGCTTCACATGTGCGCACATAAACACTGATTATTGCAGAAAGCTTAGACTACTTAAAGAACAATTTAGAATACTTTGGTGCAGTTTCATTTGGCCTTATCTCAACTGTCCATGAGTCCTTCACCCTCAGGGGGATACCATCAGAGATATTATGAGGTTGTCTCCAGGGAATTGTCACTGAAGGTATTTCAGCTTTGTCCCCATCCTCTTGACTCAGTGAGAGCTCCAGGGGCGGCTCACAGCTAATACTCTCTTCTCAGCCAAAGCCATCTATCACCAGCCTGAAGCAGTAGCTGACCACAAGCAACACACACACACACACACACACACGCACGCACACAAAATCACACTCACTTCACAGTAATTCCCATCTATCAACAACCTAAAGCTGTAGCTACCTACTATTTACACCCACTGAACCCACACAGGCAGACACACATCTCCTCCCATGGTACTGAGCTCGATGCCTATCACTTTACCGTCTCCTACTGTTCTGGATCGCCAGGGGTTCCCTGAGAGTAGATGAAATTTGACAGACTTAAATATTTTTACAACACACAGGGCGAATGTGTGTGTAATATAGAGTTTTGTTGCTTTTGCAACGAATATACGCATAGTTTGACAGCCTTTCGACACTAACCCTAAAGAGAGATAGCTAACTGACTGCTGTTTAATCAGATCTACAGATCTCAAGGAGTTATGAGCTTCCAAAAGCCCGTGGGGTGTTGAACTGACACCAGTGATGGCATTTCTTTCCTAAAGCAGGCTTTTCTTTGGGAATTCTGGCTTTTATCAACCCACCACCTCCACCTCCACCCACTCCTTAAATGTAACAAGTAGCATTTGGGGAGTTTGTGTTTGTGTGACAAGGTCCATATGTGTGACTAACGATCAAAGTGCACAGGCCCTGGCTCCAGTCGCTCGTTAGCTGGTGTTGTTGTTTGTTGCCAGGGGTCTCCCTGGTACCCCCTTGGTAAAAGGATAGACACAGTGGCTCCAAACTGTGGGCCCTGACTCCTACTACCCCTGTGGCTCCCTTCCCCCATCCCTTTGCCTCTCTCTGCCTGACTGCATGCCATCAATACTGATGGCCAGATAAGCCAGAAACATGGGCCCATTAGAAACCAAGCATCTTTTTTAGCGGACCAATGAAACTTCCATCTTGCCAACAAGTTCCAGCCAACTTTCGGTGGGGAGAGGAATAATTATAATTTTGCTACGGAGCAGGCAGCTTAGTGCTTATCTGCAGCTTGCCTGCCATGCTCTGTTTACCAGATTGCTGTTAAAGTGTTTTTTCCCCATGCCGCTTTCAATTCCAGCCGAATCGATAACACTATTGAACAAACACCGTTGTTCTCTGCTTTTGCCTGACAGAGTTATCAGCCCACTGCACACCCTGAGCACACACACGCGCGCACACTAACAAACTCCCTATAGCCAGTCCCTCCCTGACCTCTAGTCCTGATTACAAACAGGTTGTAGTATGGTCCCAATGTGTTCATTAGAAAGGAGGTTGAAGGGGGTGCAATTAAAACACAAAAAAAGGGTATTAAAGTCGCCCTAGAAGGGGGTAATTATGTCCTCCCTCTCCCCACTTCCCAGCCCCTGCAGGGTTGAGAGTGCGGGGGGATGAATAGACGTGGGCGAAGGGGGTGGGTCAAAGGGCTTGAATTGGGAATGGCTTTTGAAGTCTCACCCAGTAAATGTTTCTATGTGAGTGCTACTGTTGCTCTATCAATGCCACCGTTTCATACAGTGTTTCTATTCACAGTGTGCCCGCACTGATGGAGTGCTTCACTTAGGAGGGAGAACCACCACTGAAAACGCACCAGGGGATGTTGGCTAGTGCCTTTTATTAATGGCAAATAGTTTTAATTATCCTGCTGCCTTTTGTTCACCCCCCAACGCCTCAGCACTGAAACGTTCCACATCATCAGCTTAATTAACTGATTGCGGTAACGCACTTCAAAGAGAGCTTTGGCCCCTGTGTCACACAGTTTAACAACAAAGTCAAACCATGCCACCTTCACTTTAGCAAACAAAATCCTCTCACTTTCAGCCTTCCCCAGTGTGTGTCCCTTGTTATTTCCCTCCTCCAGATTGTCTCCCTCTCTGAGTCAATAAGGCTGTTTTGGTTTATTCCCATTGTTTTTTCCCAGGATGCCTTTTAATGCCAGTGACACCCGAAGCCTCAGTAAACTCAGCATGGAGTAGCAGAGTAATACTCTCTACTTACGGATGATCTGTGGAGCTATGGCAGATATGCAACAAGGATTGTGTGCAAGTGTCTGTCTCAGCCTGATACATTCAAGTCAAGGATTGTTTATGTCTGAGTAGGTGTGCGTGTGTGTGTTGCTGTTCTGGTGCTCTGGGGAATCTGGGAGTGTGTTTCAGTGGCGATAAGGTGGATAATAAATGCTAATAATGAACAGAGATGATAGCGAGGGAATGCCAAGTGGTCACAGGTTGCTCCTTACCACTCTTCCTCCTCTTCTGAGAAGGAATTCCTAATTTATTGGAGCCTTTTCAGGAAACTTCAGGAGTCTAATCTCTTCTTTAATCTCTCTGGCCTGCATTTTGCTTTCTTGTCTACCTCTATCCCCTTCTTTCATCCATCCATCACCCTCTCATCTCTGCGCTCTCTCACCCTGTGGAATGTCAGAGCTCTGAGGCGAAGAAGCTGCGGCACGGATCAAAGGTCGGACACTTGCCAAGTCAGCACCGGAGAATTTTCTACATGGACAGTCAGCAAGAAGGGTCTTTAAGCATTTTAAATTCTACAGACGGATAATGGGAATTAATCTCTGTAAAGATTCATTCAAATCTATTCTAAAGTCCATAAAGGTCATTGTAGAACAAACTACACAGATCTCACTACAGCTTCCAAAAAGAGTTCCTGTCTTCTTAACCCACTGTCTCTCAGAGCTTCATACAGTCACCCTAACCACATAAACAAGATTATTTTCCGTAACGGATGACTGAACCGGAATGTGGGGACCACCTAATTGGCTCGCCCAAGCCTGGATTATTGGGTGGAGCAGTGGCTGAACTGAGGTCCATTCATCAGCACCAGACCCTACTTAATACAGGGGCTTAGACTGGACAGCGAGGCCCAGAGCAGGGAATGACGGCTGGGGACAGAGTAAGGGGTGAGACAGGCAGGGTGGAGCTTCCCCCCCCCCCTCCCTCCCACATCTATTGTTCTCACATAGAGCAGGGGTATTATGGCTTTTCACTGAAGATTTGGAGTTCAAAAAAGACACATTGTCTATGTATAGCTATATGTGTGTGTGGGTGTGTGCAAATGTGTCCGTGCAAAAATGGGAACCAAGAGGTGGTATCAGAATGCTGAAA